CATAGTTCTTCATGATGTCTGCTCTAGATTAAGTATTTGTCACCTGGAAGGTTTAATTGGTTATACATGCTTCTTAATGTAAAATTTATGGCAAATAACACTCTCTTCTTAAATGATTTTTAACCCAGAGCATTTGGATCTATTTTGCAGTGATAAAGAATAATAAAGCTATTTTTTTGAGCGCTCAGATAACAATAGTATATGTTCAGATAGTATTTTTCCATTTACAGTAACTCGTTTGACCTTTGTAACTGCTTTCTGGTCTGAGTGGAGCAGAATGTGATTTTATTTTACTGACATAAAACTGGGACACTGGCCCTGGCCTACCTCTCCAGGCTCCCAAGTCTCCACATCCTAATTGTTTGTTCACCATATTTTCACCAGACTGACCTTTCTTCAGTGACTCGAGTGTTAGAAGCTCCATCTCGTGCCAGGGCCTCTGGACTAGCTACTCCTGTATCCTTCTGGCTTTCCTTCCCTTGACACAGTGAACTCACCTGTACTTGCAAATGAGTATAGCTCCTTAAATGATTACTTTGGGAAGCAATTTATTTATTGATATCAATCTTGTACTCTTGTGTGAATAATTTCAGGACTTACCTTTAAAACCTATTTATGTGCCATCTCAGAAAACCCATTTAGCTAGCTTGTGCTCACATTGTTTTTGACCTAAGGTGGTAATGTAATATGGAAAGTTATACTCTGCTAGGCTTCGAATGACATTTGTCTGCTTCCTGAAATTAAATCCATTTTTAACGGAGGAAGAGGGATAACTGTCCAACACCTTAGAGGAATGAACCGTGGATTCTGAAGGTAATTGAGACACGTGGCCCTGAAATGTTTTAGGGAAAGGAAATCTTGTTGAAATAAGGGGTCACTGGAATGTTCCCATAAGCTAATTAGCAAAGCAGCACCATTATCTTAAAGTCACATCTGATGGACTCATTGATGAGATGACTTTAAAAAGGCCTGTTTTTACCTGAATATATGATCCCTATAACCAAACTGTTTGCTCTTGAAACAAACAAACACACACGCATACACACAACAAAATTAGCTTTCTGAGATCTGCATTTGACTACAGAACTCAGTGAGATATCAGCCATTAAAAATATACACAGGGGGTCATAGTTTTTTAGCCACTACAGACAAATCAAGAAAGGGAATATACTTACTCTTTGGGGAAATATCTTTTTTTGCATGCTGTAAAAGACATTTAGCTTCAACTAAAACATTTTCTCCTAATAAACAAAAAGGAAATAAAAATAAAGCCACTGTGGGAAGATTAAAATGCTTAATTTTGCCTTTATTGGGGAAATGATACATTTTAACAATTTGAGTCTTTCAGTAGAAACAGAAGACTTCTATATTTTATGTTTTCATGTAGATGATATATAAACAACGAGAAATCAAATCAATGCTACAGCAATTGCTCAAAAGGAATATTCATCAAATGACATTAATGAAACCGAATGAACACGATTTAGCTTGTTTAAGTGAATGTCAATATCTGGGACATGAACCTATTAGAAGAACCTGTGCTCCAGCCTTTTCTCATATCTTGTATGGTTAATGTTTCCCCTAAATTTGATGGTAGCACCTTATATACTATGGACAGTGACGCATAAGAATTCATGGCTGAAGCTCTTAAGGTAAAGTGTAATGATTTCCCAGAAAGATGCTCCAGGAGGGAAAACATCTGTTTCTAAGGTCATCTAAGTATCAACTGAAGTCTCGAATCCTCAAAATTAACAGTCCCTTTAACTACTTTCATTCTAGCAATTGTCTAATTGAACTTTGGCAAGTTCACTGATTTTGTAATATTTGCTGGCAGCAAACTCCACGTGTTAACTAGACACACACACAGAGATGTCTTTTTTTTTCCCCATTTAAAATCTCCTGCCTGTTAACTTCATGAAATTCCTTAATGTTTTATTATTTTAGGAAATAAGCAATATTATTTTTCTCCATGAGATATATGTGGTAGTCCTTTGTGATGGTTGTCTCACTTATCTCCTTTTTCCCAAGTGTGAAGTAGCAGTGGGTTCAGTTTTTCATGAAAACTCCCTCAAATAATTGGTTCCAGTGACTGACTTTGGCATCTCGTTTGTGCAAGATATAATGGGGAAGGAGAATCCTCGGAGAAAGCGCATGCAGATGACCCAAGAAAATGTACCAAACTTGACGAAGAATCATTCTTTTTTCATGCCAATGGAGATTATATATACATGTATTTTTAAAAGCTATAAGGAACCAACTTGTTCTGTTCATGGGCATAATACAAAGAGCTGCTTGGAGGACACAAAGAGAACTAGTGTGGGATGTAGTTAATCTTGGTTTTAAGTTTTGGCTAATGACCAATTGTTATATTGCACAAAATAATTAATTACTTTGAGTGTTAGTTTCTTTCCTGGTTAAGTTTATCTTAACTACTCCTAAGTTATTTGTTACCAAAAATCATATAAGAAATATGAGCAGACTTTGATTGTTATTATGGCATCTGTGTTTAAGATTTCTTTTCTTTCCCTTTTTTTTTTTTTAGAGACAGAATCTCACTTTGTCACCCTTGGTAGAATGCCTTGATGTCACAGCTCTCACAACCTCCAGTTCTTGGACTTGGGCGATTGTCTTGCCTCAGCCTCCTGAGTAGCTGGGACTACAGGCACCCACCACAACACCTGGCTATTTTTTTTTGTTGTTGTTGTTGCAGTTTGGCTAGGGCTGGGTTTGAACCTGCCACCTTTGGTACATGGGGCCAGTGCCCTACTCACTGAGCCACAGGTGCTGCCCTAAGATTTCTTGAATGAAAAATATCAGAAAAGAAACTCTCAATTAAGAATAAATGAATAACTACTTGAGTAAAATATTTTCAAAATGTGTAGATTCTAGTATGACCAAAGTTAGCACTGCATTATAAGCATTTTCACCTGGCACTGAATTCATGTAATTAAAAGAAAACATAGGCATTTTATTAAACAAAAATAGAAATACAATTTTTGTCATCATTATGATCCTTTAAAATAGATGAAAAAATTCAATGCACTGGAATCTGAAAGGCTTTTGCAAAACTAATCAAACAACCTTCTAAGAAAGGATTTCTTGGCAGGAGTCAAGATTTTCCCAGAACCCTTTTTACGGAGGGATTTCATTGGAGGCTTTTTTAAGGGTAGAACTCTTTTCGGGGTTTGCAGTGCTCTTGCTATGTCCACATGCTCATTGCAGTAATACTTGTTGCTTCCTGCTGACAGATGGATGAGTGTGTTTTCTGCCAGATCCATGCACTGGGCATGGACCCAGTGCCCATCTCCATGGGAACAGTAGATCATGGCAGGTTTGTTTAGTTCAGTTGAATAGAATGGTACCCAAGTGTTGATATCCACATCACAAGTAGGGCAGCATACAATCCAGTAGCCTGTCTCAGACTCATCTTCCTCATCATCTTCATTATAGGTGTCAAATTCATCATCACCATCAAAACTATATGCTTCTGCACTGAAACAAAATTCTTCTGAGTCTTCAAAGGGGGTAGAGTCCCCTGGATCTTCTGTTGATGTCTGACTGTTTGTGAATGTTTTTTGATCTTCACTCACATCATCTTCGGCACATTTCAACATGTAAAAGTAGAATGCTTCTGAAGTAGCTTGTTTACTGTCTCCTGGAATGCCAAGAAAAATAGTTCCATTTCCCATGTTGCTTCCAAACCATATCTTGCTGTGTTTAATGTCTGGGGTCCAATCTGGAGTCTCCATCTCACGAACTTCTATTTTGTTGTCCTCTAAAGAGACGATGTTGCAGATCATTCTTTTTTGATTTTCAAGCTGATAGCCACCAACAATAACAAATTCATCGCTGTTAATTTGGGTCATGACTGCACTGGAGACAGAGATCCCTCCTGGCAAAACTGTGCAATTAACAGCTGGGCTACCCAGGGGAAGGTCAACTCTTATTCTGTACAGGTTGGCAGGGCGAATGTTATTGGCAAGTGAATGTCCTCCTAAGATGTAGATGGTATCATTTCTGGCAATAGAGACATGAAAAGATAGCCCATCCTGAAGTTCTGGAAGAATATATGAGGTAGCACACCCAAATTCAAAATCCACCAGGAAAACATGGGGCAGGCAGTCAGCTACACTATTCCATTTTTCTGTGGTTCTTTGGGTAGATGGCATGTATGACCGTCCTCCAAAGAGGACACCCATACTTTTCCCTCGGCTATACACCACATCAATAGAATGACCATATCTGGCTTCAGGAACATCTCCTACCAAGTCTTTCTCCGTGCAGCGAAAAGTAACTTTTTTGCTGTTCTTGCAAACAACAGACATGACATATATCTTATCTGAAAGCTCGTTGTTTGGTGTTTTCCCCCCATGGATGATATATTGATGCTTTTCTGACTCTGAGCTGCCTTTGACTGTGCACGTGGCTGGGTAGCGAAGAGGAGGAAGGTAGCAGGAATCCTTGGAAAAAACCGTAGGCTTCAGTTTGAGATGATTATGCTTTACATCAAAATGGAAAACTCCAGTAGGGCAGGATCTCTTCGGCCAGCCTTTTTGGCCAAAGAAAAAAACTTGCCCATCAAAATTCATCAGTGAGAATCCTGGTTGAATTAAGCCTATGTTGTTACTGACTGTTACCATCTGCAGGGACATATTTTCTGATCGTGGGTAGATCTTTTATCTGAAAGAATTTACAAAATAAAATGACTTAGATATAGAATTTCTCCATGTAAATCGCTGTACTCCCTCACATGTAAAAAGCCCTTTTAAAGAAAACGTCCTCCCACAAGCTTACAGTGGGACCAAATGAGCAAGATGCAAGTTTAGCTACCAAAGACCCACAGAACCTTCCTGCCTAACTTCCTCCAAACAACTGGGACATATTTTAGAGATGGACTATACTCCCTTAGATTTCTGGGAATTGTAGTCTTTTTCTCTAAAAAGTTACAGCACACGTCTGCCCAAAGAACCACATTTCCCAGGAATCCGTTCTCCAAGGGGATGTGCAGCTACGGCTGATTCGTCTTTGTTGCTCCATAAGAAGAGATTCCTAGGATGTTTGTGAATAAAGACGCCAAAGGTGCGAAGTGACTGGGTGGGAACTGAGGGGGAAAGCAAGGGAACGGGAGGCGAGAGTGGCCGCGTCAGCGTCCGGGTTACGGAAAGGCGACAGCAGCAGGCGCGGTGTCGGGCAACCCCCTGCCCAAGTACTGCTGGAGCCTCTCTCCTGGGGACTCTGAAATAGGGAACCCAGTAGGAACTGCTTCTGTCTGAGTGCAGTTGCCTGGAAACCGCAATCTGAAGGGACGCCAGGGCAGAGGTGTCACTACGGACTCCTGCCTGGACGCTTCAGAGTGCGGCTCAGAATTGAACCCTCTTGGCTCCTAGGTTGCTGGGGCAGAGGAGGGAAGCGGGTTGCGAGGTGGCAAAAGCAGTGACTGTCTTGCAGAACCAAAAGATGAGCCCCTGAATACCTAGAGGGCAGGGGAGAAAAGTGCCTGATAATGATTTTACCACTCCAACATTTGGAAATAGAAATACAATTATTTGATTTTTACGGGTAGCATTTTAAAAAGGCCCTCGGTTTTCTTTACCGCGTTTACTCTTGTTTTTAAGAGTTCTTTTAGCAGACCTTGTTCCTAAACACATCTCCCCTTCTTCCTTACTCTAGGAAAATAGAGTTAGTGGCTGTTGTTTCAGATCTCTTTCCAGCACAACCACTTTGAGGTAATTCTCTAACAATTCTGTAGTAAGCAGGCACTGAGCAAAGACGTGTTCCAATTATTCATGATTTTATATTGGTGTTATAACAAAGGGGTATTTACCTGATGAAGCAAGCTTGATAGATTTTTAATTTTTATTTTATTATTAGTTACCTTGGAGAGATGTGAAATACACCCCCTGTTTGTAGCATAAAGCCTTAGGCACCAAATGTTAAAGGAAACAAAGCAATACAGATTCCTTGACTTTGAAGAGTAAATTGTTAATCTGCTTCAAACGTTGTATAAAACAGTGACTAAGAGTAGGGATTACTGAATACTGGCTGGCTGGATTCAAATCCTTTGTCACTAACTACACGATTTTGGGCAAGTTACTTAATCTCCCTGTGCTTCAGTTTCCTCATCTGAAAATTGACATAATTTTACCTATTTCGTATTGGTGTCAGTTACAATTAGTCATTTTTTTTTTTTTTAAAGAGACAGTGCCTTGCTTTGGTGTCCAAACTGGAGTGCAGTGTCTCAATCACAGCTGGCTGCAGCCTCCAACTCTGGGCTCAGGTGATTCTGCTTTGGCCTCTCAAAGTTCTGGGCTTACAAAGTGACCTCCTGGTCTTGATTTGTTATTTAACACAGGTAAAGCACTTAGAACAGGGCTTCTCATACAGTACACGATAGTTATTATTATAATTATTCTTGAACTTAGCCAAGAGTAAGGTTTTTAGTGTACAATACCTTGCCAGTGATGGCAGCTGATTTTTAAATGTTGGAGAGGATGGGGGGGGGGGGCTTTAAGATCTGAAAATCAGGTGTAGATGGATAAACTACTTAGAACTAGTTTCTTTAGTTTTTTCTTTTAGTTTTTTTGAACAAATAAGAAGTGGATAAATATGTTAATAGATGGTGGGGGTGCTGGTGGTTTTTCAAATTATTTAATGGAAGATACTTGATTTTTCATGTCATACTTTCTCTACTGCTAATTAAATGTTCAGGCCCTGAAATTGGAGTCTCTGAGTCCAAATCTGGCAATAACACTTAGCTGCTGTGTAACCACCTTGGGAAAATTATTTTTCTCTCTGTTCTTTTCATCTGCAAAATGGGAATAAATTAGTATTCATTCACTGGTTTGTTCTGAGAAATAAATGGTATAGCATATGTAAACCACATAGCACATTGTGTGGCACATAAGTACTCCACAAATTTTATTTGATGCTATGATTTATTTTTATTCATCCTGCAAAGTTTCTTTGGGCCATTTGGTCACTTTAATGAGATTTTTCTTTTTTTTTTTTTTCCTGGGAAGCACTTCTGTAGATCAAATGTAATCACTAGCTAAATAATCTCTTATGATTTTTAGTTTTACTTGGGACATTCCCCAAGGTGTGATCTTTTAACAATCATCTTGTGGGTTATTAAACAAAATGAGGAAATGGTGACTGAGAAGGATTATAACCAAAATTGTAAACGCAAGCCTCTCTCTTTCCCCGACCCATGGTAATTTGTAGATTCAGCAACTTGCCCCACATTTGAAATAATCTGGGCAAGTGTTTTATTTATTCATGGCCTATCCAAATATACATAAGAGAAGGCATTTGAGCAACTAAGAAAATGCTATTCATGGGAATAAAATATTATTGACTCTCAAGTTAGCAAATGAAAACCAAAAGTCATGGCCAGGTGCTGTGGCACACACATGTAAACTTAGCATTCTGGGGGGCCAAGGCCAGTGGATTGCCTGAGTTCAGGAGTTTGAGACCAGCCTGAGTAAGGGTGAGACCTATCTCTAAAAGTAGCTGCGTGTTGTGGTGGGAGCCTGTAGTCCCAGCTCCTTGGGAGGCTGAGGCAAGAGGATCTCTTGAGCCCAAGAGTTTGAGGTGGTTGTTAGCTATGATGCCACAGCACTCTACCAGGGACGTCAAAGTGAGACTCTGCCTTCCCCTCCCCCCCTAAAAAGAAAGAAAGAAAATAAAACCATAAGTGATAAGTGATTAAGGTCAGCAGGATGAGAGAGTTATTCCATTTTGGGTGGAGGGGGTACCCAAACCAAAGCCCGCTTGTATCAAACACCCATCAAGATTGTTATGACTGTTATTGAGATATAAAGGAGGCTATGCTGGGGGAATGCATTTCAGATGCAAGGGGGTTTTCTAAGAACACTTGCTTTTAAACAACAAGCTTTTAAAAGAATGGTTTTTATTGTTGGCTTAATTTTCAGATTGCTACAGGGATTTTGGCTTCTTGTAAGTGAAGACATCATTGTAGATTAAACAGAAATATTTTCTTGGGCAAGACAGAAGGAAGATCGCCACCTTGGTAGCTTAGTCTAGGTCCCTAAAGATTTTTGAAATAGTCTCTTTGTCCTGTTTTCCCTTTGATGCTCTGCTCTTGGTTCACTGCCTAATTTCAGGCTCCTGAGAACAGTGGTAAAGTTTACTCTTGCTCAGATGAGTTACCCCTTCCCGTAACAGTGTTAAAGTGTTTGTGTATTGAGTTTTTCAGTTACCCATTTTAAGCAGATGTACTTAAAGAATAAGCAGGAACCTTGAAAGTGTTTTCACATATTTTGTCCTATTTCTTGAGTTCTTGAAATTTTGCTTTACTGATATGTTTTCACTGGAGTAGTTTATTGCACATCCTCCATGGTTGTAATATGACTATGTTAGTCACATCTTGGTTTTTAAAAAGAGTCTTTAAAAGATGATACTAGATCTAAAATAACCGACTGAAGTGTTTTCTTTAAATAGGCTAGATAAAAACAGGCAGAATTTTAAAAATAAGATACTGTTCTTCAGCGGAGAGAAGTTTCAAAGTCAACACATTAAAGATTCCTTTTAAAAGACAGAGATATAAGACCAGTAAACTTATACCGTTTTCCCAACCCCATGCTAACATTTCTCAGCAGGGAGATTTTCATTTATTCACTGTGAAGCTAGGGCACAGTGGAGTATAAAAAGAGGACTAATGGTATGAAGTCTGGGTTTGTAGTTTCCTGTGCCTGAACTGACTTTTTCTTTTTCCCAGAGAAAGACAGAGACTGTACTCTGAAGCACTGAATCTTGCTGATCAGTGCTGCCCATGTTTTCCTGACTGCTCTAGAATAGCAGGTACCCTCCTGTAACTGCAGGCATTTAGTGCACGAATTAACACTGTCTTGCACGTTTAATCAGGTTTGAGGCATACACTATTGAATTTTTGCCCACAGTAAAACCAAGATTAGGTCTTCTTTCCTACACTGAGGCCAGAGAAGGATTTATATACAATGAGATAAATAATAATGCTTTGAAGGCCTGGGAATTAAATCCTTGCAAGCAGCCTGAGAACGCCCCACGTTTTCCAAATTCTACATAATTTCTTTAGAGATCTAGATACTCAGTAACTAACAGGCTACCTAACAGGCTTCCCAAAGTGTGGCGTTATCATTCCCTTACAGTTTACAAACATAGGCTCCCATTTTTTAGCTTTGGTAGAAATGAAGATATTGGACCTACCTGAAGGCCAGAGGGGCTGCTTACCCCTCTCTGAATCTGCTGCTAAACCGGGTATTTAATGCCAGCACTTGGGGAAGAGTCACTGACTGCCCACTACGACTGTGGCAAGTGGGGGGCTGACAGTAGAGCGAGTGTGTGAACCTGCAGATGTTCTGGTGAACACTGGTCTAACGGGAGTAACTGACTGTGACCTTTTTTTTTCCCCCCTCTCTTTAGATGGTTGAGGGAACTATCCACCAGGGTATACCCTTGAGATTTAACTATTTCATTACTAGCAACAGTGGAAACACAATTCATTATTCATCTGCAGAGACAAAAAAATGTTTGATCGAAACTTTATTTTTTAAATTAAAAACATTTTAGCAAAACAGAAAAAGTGAATGTAGTTACTGTGGTTTAGATGCTAGTGTGAATCAAATGGGAAGTTATTTGTCCTACTGCAAAGACCATTGATATCAATGCTGATCCTTTTAACTTTGAGTGGTGCTTTTGTGGCCTCATTTCTTTTTAGCACAAGACTCAGAATGAAGGAATTCTAGTATTGGAGGTCTTCTACCAGCTTCATGTCTGGCAGCTATGGTATAATATAGCAACATTAATGTAATGATTAAGAAAATGGGCTTTGTAGGCAAGCTGACCTGGTTGTCTCTGCCAGCTCTGCCATTTCCTAACCCTAAGCCTCTGTTTCTCTATCTCAGAAATGGGGTTAATAGAAATATTTACAAAAATTGCTGGGAAAAGATTAAATGAAATACTGTGTATACAAAACTCAGCTAAGGAAGTATCAAATGAAATCTAAACACAGTACTCAGCCAAAGAAGTATAAACTACAAGCTGCCTTTTTTATTTTCTAATAGTTGCATAAAATTACATTA